CATTTGCTATTGTAATCGACTATAATACGTATTTTCGTTATAAGGAGGTTTTCGAGACTACCAGTAGATAATATACATGAGACGTATTCGCCATTGATGAGAATACCTTTTGTCAACATGGCTATGTACAATTCACTGGAAACGTAAGGTCTGCTCACATTATTTTAGGAAAATTCCACTATCATTCTTTCATCAATTTAACGAAATAAGTTGATTACTAATATATCACATATCACCATATCACATTCTGTAATGGGAGTGTCGATAAAGCCAAGTTATATTTGCTACCAGACCTTGATAACCTTAAACTAAATAGTGTAAATACTAGAACATTCCTGTTGACACTGTTGCTGAGGTATTCTTCTCCTCTATGAGCTGTAGTCACCCAATTTCGTTTTCAAGGTGATGAAGTATGGTGTTTAAGGTTTTCAATAATTACATGACTAAGTCTCAAGATGACAGGGCAAAGGTGAATTACAAGGGAGATTGAGTTTTTTCCATTTAATGGTATTCTCAATAAAGCAAAGTTTTATTTGCTATTATATCAAATAATTGACTAATTTTTCGTTTATAGGTGAGTTTTCGATTTCGATGGAAACGTGCTAAGCTTGCGTCCGTCATATTACAAACATCAGCCGAGTAGAGTTTCAATTTGCAGCCATATTCACGCAAAACAGTCAATAAAGCTTACTGGCTTATCATCAAATCTTGTGTACGTATGCCCTGAACCTATGCCTCCTGATGAGGTATAAAGTAAGTGATATCTCAAAACTATCACAACAGAACGTAACATCTGTCCTCGATTATCAAGGTTCAATGAACCTCCTCCACTTATTATTTTATATTTTGATTAATTGCACGATTCTTTTTTGTCAGACACAATTCTGGTTAGGTTGATAAGATTTTTGTCTGTTTGAAAGAGAGAGGAAAATCGAGCTGAAATTTATAGAAAGTTTTAGCATAATTAAAACCATTACCAATGAAAGAGAAATTGAGTCGCCTTCAGTTTTCGAGTGACTCAACACCCTCTCTATTCTTAAATTAATCAACTGAACAAAGTTGCTGCTTACTTTACTCTTTACTGGTGTTCTCGACATTTATTAAATTGTCTTATTTATTTATTTCAATGACCTATCTAATTTTGCGCTTGGCTGTAAACAAACCACAATCAGTAAAATGACAATTTGGAGACCATTAAATTCATATAAAGTTTTTGGCTGACTCTAATTTTTCAAACAAAGAATAATCTGATAGATGGGTTAAAAAGTGGCTCCGGATCATTGAAGGTAAGACCCATGTTTCTGACAAAATATCAAGCAGGTAGACTTAAATGAATGGTGGCAGTCTGATCTTTATTCAAGATTCTGGCCCAGCGATGATCAAGAGCGTATTCTGGGAGTCTATACGCTGACTGATTGCTTCATCAGTCGGGTCTCCATGTGCTGGCCCCGTTGAGAACTTAATTTGATCTAGTGACGATGGCAATCAAATCATCTTTAAACTTATGAGAAAGCGAAAAGTCAAAAAAGGAATGCTGTTGGGACTTTAATTTTGTATAAAAGTGCATCATGTAGACATTCGTTGTTTGATCTCACCAGAAGACGACTGCTGATTTCCGCTGTATTGCCTCCGTTTGGCTTTAATAGGACGTTCAGGTTAACGCAGTCCGGTACACATCCTCGCTCGTTTCGGGTAAAACGGAGCAAAGCTTTCGTCCATTATATGAAGTAAATCATCAAAGCATGGTATCATCCTTGCACCCATATTCAAGTCAACGAGTCAAGAAGGTTCATCTGCTTTTCCCTAATTGATGTACTCCTATCAAAATCAGTTGATAAGGTGTAAAGTGATTCGGTTAATTCAAATTATATTTTAATCTCGAAGCGTGCTAATGTGTCTATTTGTGTTTATTTATTTACATTCATGTATTCGTGTATTAACGAAACCAGCAGTGGTAGTTTTAAATGATTATAAGAGAAAATTAATGTCTGTTCTTCCTCCTTTCTGAAGGCGGTTCAACACCCTTTCTATCCTTGAGTATACTAATTAAGCATAAGTAGTTGGTATATAACTTTTTACCTTACATTTCCTTACATTTAATGTATTGCCTAGTCTGTTGGTTTTGATGGTCTTTCTAATTTTACGATTAACCACCAAAGGCTGCTAAACTACAAGATTGAGAGCATTCGAAGTCATGACCACTTTCTGCCGTGTGCTCTGGAAGCTCTGATCTTTGAACCTAACTGCCTCTACAGGCGCTTTTGTGTACAGCCTCCCTTTGCCAAACAGTACAGCAAGTTTCTCCAACAACAAAGCGACGACATAAAGACATTATGTTATAGCAATACTATTTGGATATTGGGTCAACTTTCTATCTAAATCCGGGCAGAACTGAAGAAAGTCTCGTAATTCCCCTGGAAACCGTTTTTATTTCCTCAATTTTTTATCAGTTAACTTAGCATGTTGTAAAGAATGCACGAGGGCAAAGACAAAACATGGGAAAAGGCTCTTTGGGGCTCGGATGGATCGGATACTTTCACTTCAAGTTAAAGTGTTTGATGAAAGGAATCGAAGGCCGAACTGACGGGAAGCCAACTGCAGATTCATCTTGACCAGCGGTCGATTGTCTTTACTGGAGCATTCTTGCTGACGCTGTTTCCAAGGTAATCTCTTTCGATTTCGGTGAAAACATACTAAGCTTTCGTTGATCGTATAATTAACATCATCAGAACAGGATATCATCCTTGCAAACATATTCAAGCTATGGATTCAAGAAGATTCATTGGTTCATCTCTTCATGTGTTCGTATATGTACTGAACAAACAGTGATGGATTATAGTATTTATAACAGAAAAATTTACGAAGAAAAGTTGAGTTTCGAGAAAGTTCTTATTTCCTAATTGTTGAGCTTACTTTCATTTCAAATGAAAGTCTTTGGTGAAAAGATTCAAAGGTCGCTCTTATTACTTTAAGCCATCACTGGTGATTTCGTACATATGCTAAAAAATTAGGCACATGCACACTCACATGCTTCGAAGGTGACGCATGGCGTGAACTAACCAAATCACTCTATACCTCGTCATGTTGGAGTATCTTTCATTTCGTTTGAGGAGGCGATTGGAAGGGATTCGTAAGTTGGCTCCACCGGAGGCTGTGGAGGGGTCGCCTTGGAGTTATGACTGTAGATTCGTGCGAATAGGTCCTCGGCGCACCGCCCTACGATCCCGATCAATCCTTGCTGAGCTTTCGTCCATCATGTCACGGACATCGTCAGGAAGGAACATCATAATTGACCAAAAACACGAAGGCAAGAAAGGTGGCCGACTTCAAACCTACTTACTTCCTTCTTATATTCCAATTTGGTCCACTTGTACATCTCATGTTTTGGTTGGATGTCCTATACTTTGCCTCTATATTTGCTCATAAGTTAAGTCAAGTGGTTGCGGATGACACGTGAAGTGGCTACAGATGAAGCGTTAAATGCGTGCAATTGAAACGGAACATCTACATCTTTGATCCTGCAATGTTACCGCATGTGATTGCGCCCCATTGAACACGTGTTGTGTGAGTGCATTGCTCTTGAAATGAGTGTGAAGTGAGAGTCAAAACCAGATCTCTTGCTCGGAGGTACTCCTCGTTCCTCACCCCCCCTCTCTAAACCTAACTAACAGCCGCAAGTAGTTTCCGCTTCACTTCATACACTCATTCATACTATTCAGGGTATTGGCTGTTTTGTGGATTTCTATCGCCTTCCTACTCCTTCACTTACTGGTTGCTATAGTCTCCATACCTCACCAAGCGTTAGGTCTTAGACCACTCTATCTGGGGTCCTGTGCGAACGAGGGTTTCGGCTAATTCCGATTCTTGGACCCGCATATCCTAGCAGGCTGTTTTGTGTTCGGATAAACTTTTATGTTTGGGCATACAGGTCTCTTACACATGGGCACAATGACATGAACACAAAATCTTGTAACAGCCCGATCTGGAGAGCGGGTTAGAGTATTCTCGAAAAAAAAGACATAAATCTTTTTAGGAATTATTCGAAACCCAGTTTTTCTACATATTGAATATAGATAATTTAGTCAGTTTAAGTATGATTGTAGGGATAATACCCTGTTCTGATGATATCCGCCATGCGAAGCACAAAAGCTTAGCACGCTTTCATGGGATTAGAAGGAAATGACCTCGGAAACAGCGTCAAAAATAATATTCCAGTAAAGTCAATCGACAGCTGGTCAAGAGGAGTTCGCCATCGTCTTCTGGTGGAATCGACCTTTGAATCTTTTCCCCAAACACTTTCACTCTAAATTTCAGTAAGCTGTTTAATTATGCACTAAGAAATTCCAAGAAAAATACAACTTTTCTTAGCATAGAGCCTGGTGGTTTTCTTAGTTTACAGTTAACTTAAACTTGCGCAAGAATGACTTCCAATTCTGATAATGCTACTCAAATGAAAGAGGAAATCTCTACTCGCTTTCACCTGGAACGAGGGAGGATGTCTTATGGATTTCATTAACCTGGCCAAATGATGGCAGAATAACGTAAATCGGCCGAAGTCTTCCAGTGAGATCCACCAACGAATCTCTTCATGCTGCACTTCCATACTGAATGAAAGTTTCCACAATAATATTATCTCAACCGATTCAACAATACTCATCTGCTTTTCGTATCTACAAAAAGTAAGGGTGTGTTTTCAGACAATTATAGTCCTTCGGCTAGGCACACAATGTGGCAAGTATAAAAATAGTGCATATAGTTTTGCATAATATCAAAGGAAGACAAAAGTCAAACAACCGAGTCTTCAGATCAACAGTATTTGCCATGAAAAAGGAGGCAGTTCACTCTTCGGATAACTTTTTATAAAGTCTTTCCCCGCGACTATGACACATTCGAATCTGTACAGAAGGCGGAGATGCAAAATGGCAGGGCCTTGTTGGACCCTACAACGGTCTCCTAGGGTTTCTTGCTTATCCACTTTGGCCAGTCTTCCCCTTCCTCTATCAACTCGACCAAGGGGTCCAGGGCAACAGGTAGGAGTACCAATAGCCAATATTGAAGAGAATGAACAAAAGAGGGAAGATAAAGCGCGAATATTTGTCAATTTTGTTGACGTCCCTGATCCGGGGTACATGTAGTCGGGGCAGGTTTCGTCTGCCTCTTGTGCAGAAGCAATGGCCTCCACAGAGAGACAGGGCGGACGGACAGAAGCCTCGGAAATACGAATCATTTAGCCGCTTTGACTCAGTCGGGACATCGGAATTGTCGGATCCCTGCGGCTGTATCACTTCACTGCCCTGTTGGTCCAAAGACCGTTTGAGTCCTTCAGGCAAGAGCCTTCGCGTTTGGTGAGATGGACCGGTGACGACTGACCTCTCGGAGACCGAATTCGTTTCACTTTTGTCCGCTTGCCTGGGAAGCAGCTGGAAGGAGGAGGACTTGTCGGCTGACGCTGACTGTGGCAAGTGCCTCGGCCGACTAGCAATGGTCGTTGGTTGGGCGACAAAGTTCTGTAGACGTGGCGATTTGACCGATTCTGGAGGAGAATCAGGTCTCTCATCCTCGTGCTCGGGAGGTTGAAAAGTTGGCGGCAGATGACGACTACAAATGTCTCTGGTACACAAGGTTTGAGAGCGGATTTCTTTTTCGAGATCACGAGACGTGGCCATCTTTGAGTGGGTCTCGCTAGTACACGTCATGGGCGGCTCTACGCCAATCACGCCGTCAGCCAGACTGAACTCTTCATGCTGAGTCTGCAGAAGCCAGGCCGTACTAGATGGAGGCTGTCGGCATCCCATAGTATCCACTGAAGCCTGGGACGCGTTGGAGCCACTTGCGACCAAATGGTCGGACTTCTTTTGGCACACATCTTTCCAAAGCATCCCTTCTGACTGGTTGTTTGACCGGTCAGATAGGGCGGGAGTTAAGAGAATCCCACTTGTCGGTCGCATGGCCTCCTGGTCTATAGTGTGGGCAGATGATGTGAACCGGTTTCGTAGACTTGGAATCGGTGAAACCTCTTCAGCATCGTAGCCCTGGAGGGATTTCGGAAGAGACTATATTCAATGCATGACTGACTAAACCTGTCCAGAATAGCGATACAATTTCCAAAATAAAAGTTTCTGTTACAAAAATTGTTGCATAGTGTGAGAAAGGGATGATAATTGAATTTTTCCAGAATCAAATGATTTGACCACATGTCTCCATTCAACTTTCCTTAGCCTTGATTCCCAAAATGTAGTCTCTTTTCGGAAAGACTGGACTGCGCCTTCGACCCCTCGCTACACCAGTCTCCCCAGCATGTTGAAACTGCCGACCAGGCTGGATGAGAATATCTTTTGTGAAGTAAAGCTAAGCGAAATTCAATGGAGATGTGAAGCCTACTCATATGATTGTGGAAAAATTCAAATAGCAATTCTTCATTAGCTTATATGATCTAGGGTTACTGAAACTATTATTAAAGATTTATGGATATTTTTGCAACAAAATGTATGTGATTGCAATAATAAACTCCACATTCTTCTCATATTGCATTTTAATATGATAATAATACAAATTCAAAATGATGTAAAACATAATAATAATAATAATAATAATACTCAATCTAGAACAACTAAGTTTCGAAGAATCCCTAAGGCAATCATTAATAAGGTTAGGTTTAACGAGCTTTGCAAAGAGAAAATAATTAAAAGTTCCAGTACAGAGCCGGAGGATGGTGTGTAACTTCAAACTGGGAAGAATATTATATTTTGCACTATCGAATGAGGAAAACCGTTCTCTGGAAATATTGGTTAATAATAATGGTTATCAAATTCGACAAGGGTGGAGTAGTGGTAGTCTTGCGGGAGTCAAGTTATTTAGAGAAAATGCTGGTGCATTTAAATGGTATTGATACACATAAGCCTCTAATGAAAAATCCTATAAAGGAATTTAAAATTAGGCTAAGAGATGCTTTGAAGGTATGCGTAAGTAGTGGGGAAATGAAGAAATGGAAAATGAATTGCCTACCATCCGCTCATGGCCTTCTAAAGGTGCAAAAAGAAGGATTGATTTCTAATACTAAGGGTAGTTTCATCCATACAATCTCACGGTTCTAAGCAGATCATTAAGAACAGTAGCAGAATTTTGGTTATTTTGGCTTAAAAA